CCCTGATATGGACCCTTAGGCCTTCTAGGGGGATTCTAGGTACCCTTAAAGGTACGTATAGGGGGCATGGTAGGTATATAAGATATAAGGATCCCAGGGTTAAGGGCCCATGCTAGGGGCCCATGGAGAAGCAAATGCGCGCCAGCAGGTGAAGTGCGTCAACACCCTATAAAACTCTGAAAAGATGGCAACTCAAAGCCAGCGCTTGGACAAAACCCAAACAGACACCCTATGGCATGCGTGCACGTATCCTTATTACAGTAGCCCTGAACCCCACACCTGTGCAGATCCTCAAATCAAGTTCCTTGAACTTCGAGACACCAAACCATAAAAACAACAAAAACTAAAACTAAGCCCCTAAACCCGAAATCCGAAACCGGGAGCGGTTATATTGATGCTGCCTCGCAGGGTCTGGTCTACCCGTGGCGCAGGCTCGACATCGGAAAGCCGCCACAGTTTTCGTATTTTGGGTAGTTCCCTAAATTAGGGTCCCCTGTGAGGTCCCCAAAATAGTAATTACGGCACTCTTATAAACAGGAGCCTAGAAGGGACCCTAGTTTAGAGAACTACCCATAGAGTATAGGGATTTAGGGTTCCTGGGTTCAGGGATGCCTATAGGGCTTCTGAAGGATCCTTGGCTTGCTGTTTCATTGCCATGACGCCTTTAGGGTTTAGGGTTTAGGGTTTAGGGCTGCTGATACATTGGCTAGGATCTTCTACAGGGGTTGGGGGGGAAAAACAATCTCGTCCAGCATGTATATTCATTGGAGGGGTAAAGATGTCCTGAAATAATATCCTTTTAAGCTTCTACGGTGTTTGGGGGCTTTAGGGTTTCAGAGCCAAGACCCCTTCACGACCCTCAAGCGCTTCTGAGCACGGGAAGTTGGAGTCGTTGGGAAGGTGGCGCGCTATGTGCGGCAGGTGCTCCTGGCAATCAACTACTGTCCCTTTGGCAGGTCAGCAGTTTCGACAAAGGTTCACGCTACAGGGTTTCGTTCGGGGCTTGCAGTCCCGGTTTTGTGGTTCAGGCATTTCGGTCAGTCCCCAAGCCGAAAGTCTTCACGCTTGAGTAGGCTTCAGGGCCGGCCACGGCATGAGGGTTTAGGGTCATGGGCTTAGGAGGGTTTCAGGGGTACTGTGTCGAGCAGTCTAGCCACCTTGCAGGATCAGAGATTTCGCAAGAACGCTGTTACCTTCATGGCGGATTATAACACATAAACCTCACGACCTACTTCCTCAGTACCGATGCCCTAAGCCGCAGGGCTCTAAGAAGAAGGTTGCGGGTTGCATTACCTTGCGCGTTGTAGACTATCGTATATCCAGATGGGGAGGGTCCCAACCCTAAACCCTAAACTCAACCCTAAACCCATATCTTAATCCCAAAACCTTGAATACATAATGACTTTCCAGCAACCCTCAATCCTAATTCCCAAGCCCTGCTAAACCCTAATCCTGAAAGGCCCTAAATCCTTAAAGGGCCCAACCCCTATAAGCCCTAAAACGTGGAAGTCAGAAAATTGGAACATCATGAACCTCATGCCCTTATAAAGCTACGGTATAGTGAACTCCAGCAGTACGAATCATCCTAAATCCATGTTCCAACTTTCTGACCCCCAAACCCAAAACCCGAAGCCCCAATTATTCTGGGCTTCACTTTTAACCCTCACTCCGAGCCCAGGGCCTTCCAAGCAGCCCCCTAGGCGGATCCCCTCGCCCCTGTGTATAAAGCGTCTAGGGTTAGGGTTTAAGGTTTAGGGTTTTATGCCCTAAACCCTAAACCCTAAAACCCTGAGCTTTAGGGGTTTGGGGTTGAGGCATCGAGCCTGAGAGCCCCCAATCCTAAACTCCAAGCCCCAAGCTCGCAACCTGCCTTGAGCGGCCTTGAGAGTCTGCATACTGTAGGGGCCTCAAGAATTACCAGTACTATTTTGGGGGCTCCTCATCATAATTTGTAGTATTTTGGGCCCCAAAACCCTAGTCTAATTCTTAAGGCCCCTATATTACAAGTTTGATGAGGCAGTTGTGGTTATTGTCGCCCTTGTGACTTGCTAGGCTCCTAAGGCCTCAAAGCCCCAAAGGCCTCAACAGAAAAAGAGCCGGTCGCACCTCGTGGACCCCATATGAAACCCACGCCGCCAAGCCCCGTAACTAAGGTCCAAAGCCACAGAAACCGAAAACACCTAAACCCTAAACCCTAAACCCCAAACCCTAAACCCTAAACCCAAGCCCACAGAAACCGAAAAGTCCTAAACCCTAAACCCTAAACCCTAAGGTCCAAACCCACAGAAACCGAGAAGTTACGCAGCCCGAAACCGCCGAAAATTCGACGTTCCCGAGCCCCGTGCCTCCAGGGATTGGACAGCCGAGGTCATTCCCTGGTGATCCCGGTCCTCCCGTCCTGTTTGGGGGTAGGGTTTGGGGTTTAGGGTTTAGGGTTTAGGGTTTAGGGTTTAGGGTTTAGGGTTTAGGGTTGGGGGAGTCATATGGGTAGTTCTCTAAATTAGGGTCCCTTTTTGGGACCCCAATATAGTACGGCACTCTTATTAAAAAGGACCCTAAAAGGGACCCTAACTTAGAACACTACACATATAGGTTGAGTACTCGTATTCCTTAGTATTCCTTATAGCGTCCCTCACCATACATGACATTGGTCCACTGAGGAATCTAGACTTTAAGAGGCTTGGGTGTTGGGGTGCAAGGCGCTTGGGGATTGTCGTGTGTGTGTGTGAGTTGTTCCTTGGGATACAACACGTTTAGTTCTTCATGCTGATATGTGACAAAACATTCGGATTCTGCATGGGCGATGTAGAAGCAGATGATGCCATTCCTTCTGGTAAGGACGACAAACTTTGGCGTTCTGCCTGCTGCCGCTACTTTCTGCTTTGATCGTACCCACACCTCCACTGGTCGTGCCCTAAACCCTTGACCTTCGTGGCTGTGTGTTTTATAGGGTTTTAGGATTTAGGTGGATTTTCCAGGTCATCCACCGGGACATCAAGCCTGCGAACGTCATGAAGTCAGGGTCTTGGGCAGCTGCTTTGCGGTGTGGGCATATGTTTTGAACCTTGAAAGTGATGCGAGATATCCTCGTGTGTGTGCGTGTGTGTGCATCTGAATGCTTGTACATATACAAATATATGTATAATAATAGATTCACAATTATTATTATTATTACGGTTTAGCTAATTAATTGATTAATGAATTAACTAAGTGTCTAAGTAATTGTTAATTAATTTCATTAAGTAATCAATTACTTACTTAAATTCATTGATTCAACATTTATTTGGTTTATATATATATATATAT